TTGCTACCCCAGAGAATCCAAGCTGATGGATTGGTTTTCTCGTTGATGAACTTCATCATTTCTCGGCTAAATTCTCTCCACAGTTTTATGTGCGAGCCAATCTTGTTCTCAACTAAAGTTAAGGCTGTATTTAACAAAAGAACACCCTGCTTAGCCCATTTTATCAAAACACCCTGGGTAGTATTAACACAGTAACCTTCATTTCGAGCCTCAAGGACCACCCTCAAGACGCTCTGGACAAGTCGGGGATGTACCGAGGGATCTAGACTAAAAGAGAGCCCTGTTGCTAGCCCGGGTTGAGGAGCTGGATCTTGACCCATGATTATGGCCTTCACTTTGTCAGGAGGGACCATATTAAATGCTCTGAAAATCCATCCTATTTTTGGATTTAGTCCAAACCCTTGGATTTGAGAGTCATTCATGAGGCGATCGGATATATCTTGCATCATTTCCTTGACGTCTTCTCGGTTGAAGAATTCTTTCCATCCTACAGGCATACAACTTAAGTCGTATATGATCTCCATGAGAGTGTTTGTTTCATAGGTGGCGGTCTCCAGTAAAGCGTTGCACAATTCGACATGCACTTTTTCCCAATTGAACGACCTTTTTTGGGCTCGGCCTGTGAGATATCAAAAGAAAGGAAGAAATGAACGTGATTTTGTTATTGTCCCAGATGTCTCAAATAAGTAATTCTCAAATAAACTGGTTAGTGCTCAACATCGCTAATCATAAAAATGCGTTAAAAATAAATTATGAAGCGGTTTGCAAAAGTGAAAAATCGATGAAAGAGCAGAAATAATATTTAGAGCGGAATCGTTATCGATCGCAGAATTTAAGAGTTCAAGATTCCCGAGAGTGACTTGAGCAGTTTTAAGTAAAATACCTAAAATCTACTATTTAGACCATACTGCGATCATTTCACTTCAAAAGTCGATTCCATCCTAAAAGAAACATGGAAGCTGCACAAAGCAAAAATTCTACTTCTTGCAACTGGACGAAAACACGTGCAGGCCCATGAGATGACAATAGGTACAAAAATGGCAGAAGCAGCTGAGCTGTACTTCTAACCCGGGGAGAGGTATACTCCCAGAAAAATTGGGTAGGGGTGTGCCGCGAGCTTCTTGAAATCCTTACCCTATTTAAGACCAAATTAAATGTGCGATTTTTCCTCCCCTATTTCAGATCTCACCCTTATAAGAATGCAAGAATACGCTATTTCAGATCTGCCTTAAAATTGGATCCCTAGTCCATACCAATGTTTATATGCTTTAATAAAGTAGGCTGCAAAACTGTCCTATATACGCTGTTGATGGTCTTTCAAATTATAATTATGAAGAAGAGGCTTCTTCTAAAAAATACCCAATTCAAGTGTACGAGCCATACCCTACTTCAGACTAAAAGAACTCGAAAACCATACCCTTTGGCGCCGCACATACATATATATCCCATCTAAGAGAGTACCCCCGAAACTTCTAAGTGGTGTTGCTTGTTCTATTATGTGCAAGTGAACAATTAAATTGGGAAGCTTTCATATTTTGAAGTTGGGCGCTATAGATTTTGGCAGTGATTTCGTTTGACATAGATGACTTACCATCACAGAGAGCCAAAAGGCAAGCTGATAGAATAAAAGCCACGATCTTCATAGTTGATCAAGATGGTTTCAAGACGATGGATTTAAGTGAAGAAATAACATTATTTCTTAAATTTTATGTTTTTAACCATCGAGTGAAAGATATACTACGCTTACAACACACTAATGTAACAAAACGCTTTATGGGCTGGCAGCGTAGCACATATTAAAATAAAATTATTCGACTGTAAAAGTCTAGAGATACGCAACCCGAGCATGAAACTTTTTAACTAGTCTTGGTAATAGACCCTTTTCATAAATGGCTGCCAATTATAAATTCTTTTGTAAATATTAAAATTAGCCTGACTAATCTCGTTCTTGAGTTGATAATTCAAAAGAATTTTTACTCCCAAACGAGTTTAGTGAGGCCAATTTAAATACATACAAAATAATTTTAAACTGGCAGCCATTTATGAAAAGGGTCTACATGTATATTTTAAAGACTTGGGCCTTGTTAAATGTTTTTAAGGAGAGCCAAAACAAGACTTTCTTGTATTTTACGTCGATCTGATAATCAGCGTACCGAACTGTTCTTTTCTATTGTTTTTTCTATTGTGGCGCGCGGGGGAGGGGGGGTCGGGGTGAGGGGAGGCTGGTGGGTCTGATAAAAGGTGCCTGTAATATATAATGACCCTCCCTCTACATTATTTGTTTTTTCACCTGCCCCAACCACCCCCTGCTTAAAATAGTGAATTAAAATCAAAACTTATAAGGCTAAACATAATGTTAAGTTACGGTTCTAAGTGATAATTAGTAGCCTTATAGTACTTGAAGTGCAATGATTAAAGTAATCTGTTAAATGTGAGGTTATATTGCTGCTGTTGAAAATAACACCTGTTGCCTTGGATCCAAATGACCGGGAACTTAACATTTTCAACGAAAACGACAACAGCTTTTAATCTGTAAAACATATTTTTGTTTTCGATGTAGCTCATATATCATTAATTACAACAAAGTTTGAAAAACTGTTTGAATTTCTAAAAACCTTCAGATGTTTATGCTTGGAGAGGACTCAACTGAAATCGCCAAAGGACTAAAAATTGCGTTAGAAAGGACTTAAAACGCTTCCCCCTGTCTTCCTTAATATGAAAGGGTCGCACAAGATTTTTGCTCCCTTGTCACTTAAAGACGATGCCATAACCGTAATGACTGATGCCAACTTGACAGTAAATATCGGTGAGAATTTGCATATTTTAAACTCCTTTGTACTAATTAGAAAGGCTCTACTTATTTCACATGACGTCAAGGCAGCCATATTGGTGTTCCAAAACAATGAAAAAGCCGTCATGTTGGTGTACCAAACCAATCCTTTGGTGGTTGAACTCTTTTCTAATGTAAGCACTTGCTTTAGTTCGGGAGTGGAAACTCATTGTACCTGAAGATTTTTTTTTCCTACATCACGTTTCGTTAAGACTAAAGGCCTGTCCAAGCGGTAAATGTTTGGCGACCAAACATCATCAAACATTGTTTGCTGACCAAACATGCTGATGTTGAAGTGAGTGGCCAAACGGTTAAAACATTTTTGGTCAAACACAGATTAAACTATGGATACAAGTCGCTGAGCAAGTGTGGGACGCATGCGCGCGCCAAACATGTTTGATACGGCTGTCCAAAGGAACAAGACATCGCCCATCAAACACGAGAACAAAAATAATGTTTTAAGTTGTTTGATCGAATGTTTGATGGCCTTCAAATTTTTTCAAACACGACCAAATACGATCAAACACGATCAAACAGCACCACTCAAGGTGGTCAAAAGATAAAATGTTTGGTCACCAAACAATGCTTGATGGTGTTTGGTCGCCAAACATTTCCCGTTTGGACAGGCCTTAAGGCCTTCTCACGTGACGAAGGTCAGCAAATGTTTTATTCGTTTAGTCTAATGCAGTGAATTTTGAAAATATCATACGCCGTAGAAGTCGTAGATACCGTGCTATTTCAGTATACTACTAATGCGAGGAGATATATAACATGTCAAAATTTCCCAGCTAAGTTAAAGTGTGCTAAGCAAGTTGTGGACATGGCTTTTAATGAATTATTGCGGCTGACAAATAGAAACTTAAAAACACGTCGACAAGGCAGGTGTCTGACAAGCAATGTGATCGGCATTCTATCGTGTGATTGCATACAAATGACAACAGCTATCGACTGTTGTTCCGGCAGAATGACACAGACTTCCGCAGTTAAATCAGCCTAAGAGCTACAAACGAGTTTTGCTCTACAACGCTCAAAAGCGAATACCTTCGCTGAAAAATAATAGGTTTAAGTTTTCACAGCTCAGGTTCGTGAACGTTAAAAGTCATGACGGAATCGCTTTCTGTCGAACTTGCCACGAGAACAAAGGCTGTAGAATGGACTGAAGCAGTTTTGCTTGCTGTTATCAATATTGTGGCCTTCTTCGGCAATTTCCTAACTTGTTACGCCGTGTACAGAAACCAGAGACTTCGTACGCTTCCCAATATGTTCGTGATAGCACTTGGTGTAAGCGATATTCTCATGTCCACCTTCTGTATGCCTTTTACAGTTGTAACTCTGTTTCACGGCCGCTGGATGTTTGGTGAGAGTTTTTGTCGTTTCCAAGGATTTGGAGCATTGACATTTGGACTGGTCTCCATGGGCACCATGGGATTAATTGCAGTTAGTCGATATTACTGTGTTGTAAAACCAGAAAAGTACATTGTGTTGTTCAAGAAACAAAGAGCTTTGCTGTACATTGCTGTTGTTTGGTGCGCGGCTCTCTTTGGATCATTGCCTCCAATTTTCATCAAGAACGGGAGATTTGAATTCCAGCCGGGTAAAGCGATGTGTTTGTACACATTTGAAAGCAATATTGCCTATACTGTCTTTATTGAGTGCGTTTACGTCGCAGCACCGTTAACTATAATCACAATCTGCTACGCCAAAGTATTCCGCACAGTATCTAGATTGAATCAAGTTTTCTCGCAGGAAAACAACCTTCAGCAACTGAGAGCGAACGTGGAAGAAGCAAAAGTGACCAAGACTTTAGCGGCAGTAATGGTCGGCTTCACATGCTGTTGGCTTCCTATCTCTGTCATGGATAACATTGACGCCGCGCGCGGGGAGCAGACTTTGCCGCGACAGGCGTACCTTACATACGCTTTCTTGGCTTATTTGAGTAGTACCATCAACCCCTTCATATATGGCGCCACGAACAAGCAATTCAGACGAGAGTACAAGGCTATTTTGAGAATGATTGTTTGTTTCCGAAGCCGGAACAACAACAACAACAACAACAACAGCTAAAGATATGTCCGTATTGCGAACATATGTAGCTTATACAAATTATCTTATGGATCAAGACTGTATCAATCATGTATGTACCGTAAATTAGGTTCAGTTTTTTGCTTGTCTGTTGGTTGTTGTTGCTCTTCTTTTTAAATGCTTGTTTTTATATAATCTCCACAATGGTTTTAATTTTTAATGTAAAGGCTTACTACATATATCTTCTTGTTGTTTTTTTAAAGTACAATTTTATGAATAGCTGTATTTTATATGTAAATGCTGATCGCCAGTTAATACCAGTGATCCAGTGATCACTGATTGGCCTTTCAGGTTAAGTAAAGTCTTTTACTTTACTTTATAATGACCTCGGGTTATAATTGCTACAACAGCAGTCTTAAACTGAGAAAACCAATTGAATCCCTCCTTATTTTCACTTCCTTTGTATCTGAATCTCTACTAACGTTTTGTGTTAACTACATGAAGTACACGAACATGGAAGCCTCGTTTATAACACCAAGTGGACTGCATTGCTGTGATGGATTTACACATTCTAAATTGAGCCACTCTACCTTGTAAAGAAAAAAAGCAGAAAGGAAAACTGAGAAGTCGGCGTGTTCAGGAACCGATCTCGGGTCCACTAGATTTGAAGGCCGTTGTACCATGTAAGAAAGTTTGCTACGAGAGGGCAAAAAAGTACAAGGCGTTTCAGCCTTATCTCAAAAACTCTCTTGACTGCCAAACTGGACTCGGCCTAGGCCTGCTGCAATGATTTCCAAATTTGACGTGGTCCTATGACATATGCAAATCACTAATTAATGTACATGCGAGTCGGGCTTAAGAAATACTTTCCCTGCCGCAGATGTACTAGTTAAAGTATTGGGCTGTATTATTTGTATTAGGCTCTTCGTAGTCTAGTGTTCATGATATAAATTCTCCACGGCTTTTCATACATTTCTTTTAAAAGCCAGTTGTGAGAATATTTTCTTTAGAATTTTATTTGCACTGCATATCTTACATTTGGTTTGGATAATGGCAATGATGATGATATAAATTTAAAGAAAAACTCAACGCTCTTGAATTTAACAAACATGTTTTGGCAGATGCTTCTGCCATCTTCAGTGTGAATTAAACATAGTGTGCGGTAGAATATAAATAGTGAAAATTACACTAACCGTCGATGGCAGCGATTGAGAAAACTGCAATAGTTATACAAAAATTAAACAGATAGTTTTACATCAAGGAAAACCACAACGGCAACGGCAAGGTCGCTAAGGCCCCGTCCACACTAAACCGGATGGAGGTTTCACTCTGAAAACGCATCAAATGTTTTCCGTTCACACTAAGCGGAGAAATTTAAAAATGCAACAATCACCGGTCATTTTGGATTTGCGTTTTAAAAAAATTTCAGGCAGGGAAATCATATGATTATCGTAAGGTCATCGTTTTCAAAAAGGCCCGTTGTCAAAATGTTTTTCGTCCACACGAAAACGAAAAGGCAGCGTTTTCAAATTCGTCCGCTTTGTAATAATAATAATAATAATAATAATAATAATAATAATAATAATTGTAAAGCGTTTTCGTGAAGGATTAGGCGGACGGTAGGCCTAAATAAGCCTACGTTTTAAATTTCTCCGGCGTATTGTGGATGAAGCCTAAACAAACGGTACCATGCCTATGCACGCGTGTTATAAGTCTTTGTGCATTTCTTTGCTGTCCTCTGCACAACAACAACAACGTGAAATGACTAAGTTCTACGTATTTAGGAAAACGCGAACGACGGATGATAACTTTTTGTATTTTAATTTCGAATTGAACCCTGGCGCTACATATTTAGCTTGAGCAAGTTGTGAGACCAACAGACGCACTGAACAGATCTAAACAACTGCGAAACTCGAAGGTAAAATATAAATTCATGTTTTACTAGGCGTTGTCCTCGGGTCGCCGTCCTTTTTATTTAAGCTCTCTAATGTCGTGAAAAAACCGAATCCTGCGCTGTCTTGAGAGCGTGAATCACGACGGCTAATTAATTTCTTTTCTAATTTAACGCCGTGTTCTATACTTAGTTTCGTGATAGTTTTCACAAAGAAACTAAAACTTAAGACGTTACTGAGATATCGCGACATTCGTGCGTAATTCATTATAGTCAATGTTTTCGTCGGCGTGAACGTTGTGGCTACTTTAATTCCTTAACTAGTAATAATTATCGATTAGCTAAGTGCGTTCGAGTCAATACAGTTAAAAGTATTGGATACTGCCAGGATAATTATATTGTCACACCACGTTCCTGGTTTTGACATTTGCTGTGTGTAATTTTGGCCAGTATCATGCACCATACTCTGAACATAATGTTCTGTACTCATTCCAGCCATGCGAATTTGCAAGTGCAAATCTGCAGTTTTATAGGGCTGATGTGAAACAGACTTAAAGAAAACAATCACCCCCGCGGGTACCACAAACATCCTACGGAATTTAAGGCTTTCACTTAGGCAATCCCAGTCTCCATTAACATCTCCAAGAAACAAATCTCCTTTTAAACAAATATTGCAATCATTTCCAGAATACATCTAATATTTGCATGGAATCTATCACTGAGCTACATAGATTTTCGGAATAAATATTACTCTTGAAGCCCAATTTATGTTTGCTGATTTTCATGACCAACTCATATTTTGATAGTGTTCACTTCTACACCAAAAGGACACTTCATTGTAATTCTTACACAAATTCATGATAAATGAGGTGTTTGGCACACTATTCATAAACTGGTATGTTAAATTGGCACACACAGGATCAAGATCGCTTATTTAAAGTTGAATAAATGAAGGGCCAAAATATTAAAAAAATATCAACAAAAAAGACTCAGCCTGATGTGTAAAACTAATAAGAAAACAAGAAATGAAATGAGTTAATTATTGACTTCGGAGGACAAAACGACAAATTTCCATTCTTGAACTACATATAACAGCCAACATTTGAGAAAACAACGGAAAATAAAAGCGAAAGACACAGGRAAAAACCAATTTGAAAACAAGAAATGAAATAATTTCTTCGCCGCGCGACGAAATATTACAGCGCAGCGAAAGAAAGATGAAAGTTGTAAATCAAAAACACGACAAAAATAGGCCAATTATTTTGAGATCAATCGTATTTCAACTGTGTTAAATTAGTGGCCTCTTAGTTCTTTTCTCAGCAGTTCTGTAGTAGCTGAATAAGACTCCAAAATATATATTCGAACGAAACCGAATAAACGCGTGGAGGTCGCCGTAAATTAAATATGCAGAAATCAAGCGTGCAAGTTTCTGTTCACTTTTGGAACCTAAATTCCTAAATACACGGAACCAAATAAAAAGAAATGCAAAAGGAAGTTCAATTACAATAAATTTTCATCCACGCCGAGGAGAAGAAACCTATGTAAAAGCCAAAAAAAAAAAAGAAAAAAAAAAAAAAGTTCAAAATTTTCGCAGACGTGCTTTGCTGCACATCAGCATGTTCAAATGAATTCTTCACGCTAAAGCGAAAGCTCGAGTTTTTGCCGAAAACTTCTCAAACTTTTACAGTCATTTTATCCGCCGTGGCGTTACCAATCGTTCCAAAAGTTGAATTGAACTTCGAAGTAATACTGTACATTACTGTTTTTCCTTTCTAAAGTCTGGGAAACTGCTTAAAATCCGCTATCAATATTCAAAACTCACTAGAAAGCGTACAACCGATCGTCATGGTTCGAGGACTCTGTACTCGTTGATCTTCCATTCTGAGGCCACCTGAACATTGACTTGTATTTTTTCCTTTCTATTTTGAATCTCACAGCAATAATTTCTCCATGATAGCAATGAAACAAGACCTTTGAAGTTTATAGATTTGGCCCGCAACGTGCCATTATTATTACCTACCAATTCTGGGCGACCAAAGAAAATTTTAAATGAGATCGAAGCCATTTGTGCCATGCAGCACAGCCAGCCAGCCAGCCAGGCAGGCAGTCAGCCAGCCAGTCCAAGATGGCGTCCAAACCCTGCAATCATCTGGCATCGCAGAAAATCGCGGGACATAAACCGGCGTGAACGACCCGACTAGAATGCGTTCTCCTATCGTCGAATGCAATTAAGGTATCATGGTCGATGGATTGACAGTTTTTGGAAATCGCGCTCTTACGCTGGCGCTTTGAAAGAAAACCCCATCAACCTATACATTTTCTGAAAGCTTAATTTTCTAAAAAGTTACTGTCGCAGTGATATTAAAAGAAGTACCCAGAAACACTACTTCACTTAAACTGGTTCGCTTCCGCGCGTGAATTATCGGAGCGGCGCAATTTACATCGGAAATGTTTTCTCACACATCACCCTCAAAAGTCGTGTCTGCGATTTTCCAGATGTGGTTTGGGTTTTTTTTGTACACCCTTCTAAACTTTGATATTTTTAATGCGGACGCCTCCTTCTATAAAAGAGGCCATAACTTTGAAACGGAAGCGAAATTAAACAAAGCCCGACACGGTTTTTCGAAGGAGGTATCCTAGAACATACCTGCCGATTTTCAGCCA